TACACTACTCAGCCGACCCAGCCTATCTATTTTCATGCAACCGGAACATCGAAGTTGAAGACCAATGTACGTGACTTCGTCACGAATGCAGACCAGCAGCATACAGCAGATACGTACCTCACACCTCTCCTCATCACCCCCTGTCTCCCCTCTGCATTCACCTCCTACCCAAAGACCACCATCACAGTCACCTGCCACTGAATGCGCAGCCCGGCTATGGCCGCCGTGCGCCCGCTGCCACCGCAGCGCTCTCTCACCTCTAAGCGCCAGTGTGCACCCCAACCTGCCTGCTTAGCGGCGTTAGCACAGCTTCGCCACAGCAAAGCAGCACCGTGGCCGCATTGCCTGCTCAGGCCAGAATGCCGAGCCCCTGGGCATTCACTTTCCTTTTTGGAAATTGAGCCTGCCTTCAGCCTGCTCTGGGCCTGGCTTGTGGGGGCTTGGTCGCTTCAGGTTGGCGCCACGTATCTGCGCCCAGGCCCAGTTTCAGATACTGGCCTGGAAGCCATACAGTTGGGCACGTCCAGGTAGCCCACCAGGCTCCGAGTGTTCGCTGCAATCTCATTGGCTCGAGGCGTGCGTGTGACGCAGGAGCTCCTTCCTTCCTCATTGGTCCACGGTCGCTACATGACATGTCGCCCTTTGGATGTGTGTGCCCGGGGACTCAACCGAATGAGCCCTGGGCTCAACTGTACGACGCAGCTGCTGCTTCTGGAAAGAGGCAGGGAAGGCTCACGTTGCACTGTAACCAACAGGCATGCTGCAACTGTCTGATACCCGTCATACAAAAAACATCCAAAATAGGCCACGCCTGGATAATCAGGCCCCCCTTCACTTAGGGCGTGCGAGAGGCTTGCTGGGCGCCTGAGCCCAGAACGTTTGCATGCCCGAGAACATTTGCATGCCCGAGAAGGGCATTTGCGGGGGCTCAGTCCTCGCATTTTCAATTTCGCAGCTTTTTTTAATTTTCCTTCCATAGAAATTTACTTTGTTTTATTTTAATTCTTTCTTTTTTCACTATCGATTTCGCAGTTTTTTTTTTTTTTTTTTTTTTTTTCCCAAAGCTATCACAGTGGATCAGGCATGTAACTGGCATTCAGGAGGTTGTGGGTTCTTGGCCCACGATCGCCTGGTGCCAACCTGAAAGAGATGCCTTTCACGTTCATAACAGTTCTCGGATTGCTTACTCTTTACAAAGTTTCCGTAAACCTGTACAAATCCTGAAAGCACCGTGCCGTGACGAATTTGAGATCATGATTGCGTTTATACACTGTTGTTGTTGTTGTTGTTGTTGTTGTTGTTGTTTTAAAACTAAGCTACATTCTCTCAATTTTCACTTCGCACTACCTACCTACCACAGCCTAGCTCAGTTGGTAAGGCTCACAAGTGGAATTCAGGAGGTCATCGGGTCGATCCGCATTGGCCTCATGTACTTTCGTGGGCATGCTTGGCGCTCGCCACCTGGAGATAAATCACTGGATCCCCCCATCGGCATTGAGCACAGTCTGCTGGTGGTCGTAGGGGAGGGGACCTGAGGGGAGGCACATGGATTGGTCCTGTTGGCATAGTCCCTGATGCTACCAGCTGTCCCCTGGCCGGTATTACCCACCTGCAGGTCGGGAGCAGCCCCCGCATGTTCTCTCGTGAACACGGTTCTGGCTGCTATGAGGTCCCCCGTATGACTATAATTAGGAGTAGTGTTGTTCTCGTTCACTCCAACACCAAAGATTGCAATGGCCAAAAAACAAATATTTCTTTTGCACGTCGGTGCCATTCAGGAGGTTGTGGGTTCGAGCCCCATGACCGCCTGCGGTGCACTTAACACCAACCACCTAAAAGAGATCCCTTTCATGTTTGTAACAGTACTCGGATTACTTACTCTTCCAAAGTTTCCGTAAAGGTGACAACTTGGAGATACATGATTGCATTCGCAGTGTTGCGTTCGAGCCCCACGACCACCGCCTGCGGCGCACTTAGGGCCTCATCCCACCCTACTTACAGTTAGCAAATTTACTCTTATTTGTGTATCCCGCCTTGTTCCACACCGAAGGAGGGTCCAGTAGCAAGGAGGGATGTGGAAATGCGACAAGGCGTGGCCTCCACGGAGCAAATGATGGGGCCCTCCTTTGGCCGAAATCCGAAATGACCTCTGCCCGTACTCTCTTCCCCAAAAGATGGCGCATATTTTTTATTACTTTTTTTTTCCCTTTTGGGGGGGGGGGGGGGTCCGTTGCCGGGCCTGGTTTGTCCTAGCACAACAAATCCAGCTGCCACTCACGTAAAATTTCCTCGGATAGCGGGACGGTGCAGTACGATTTGTCTTTTACGAGAACCACATTCACATCGCACACTCCAAAATTGCCCAACCGAGAACTTGCTAACATGGCAGACTCAGACCACGAGAACACCGACGCGGCCCAACGTTGGCCGTGCCATGTAAATAGAATTTTACTGTTTTACATCGCACGGCCGAAGGTGCCAGTTGATCGGAAGGAAAGAGCCCGCGGCTGGTAAAAAACTTACAGCAACGCAGGAATAGGACTAACATGTGCAGAGATTTTGCAAGACTGCAAAGCAGTGGTCTGGGCTTGGTAGGGAAGAGAGGGACAAGCTGCCAGCCACGGTTGCACATCCGGAGTCTTCTCAACAAGAAAACCATAATTAAATTCACTTATTGCTGCCACTTATTGCACCAAAGGAGTTTACTTATTGCACTATCTTCACATTCCACCTAAACACCATTGACATCGTCCCAGCTCGCAGCCACGGTCGCACATCCGGAGTCTTCTCAACAAGATGACCATAATTAAATTCACTTCAACAAAATTGAAACGGTTTTCACCTTAGCAGTAGCCAATGCAGATCCCAGGTCTCGATCCCTAGACCAGGTAGACCTTACCACACCCGTGTACAGTACCGAGTCGACCCCTGTGTGTTTGAGCCCGTGACCCGAGTTTTAGTAGTTGACTGTTGCTTATCGTAGGTCTGTGTAGCTGTAGGGGTTCGATCTGTAGATCTGTTGACTAGGGGTCATAGTTGTGTAGAGGCCGTAGCTGTAGCAATTCCGAAAGGTCAAGGTCGTAGCTGCTACAGTCCCGAAAGGCCAAGTCCACAGACTTCCGGAAGGCCCAGAAGTGGCCTTTCAAGTTTTTCTCACGTTATTCACAGCAGACCAGAGGCAAGTGGGCACGCGGTGAGTCCAACTTCGCTTAGTCAGCGGTACCCAGTCCCAGTCTCACTTCGTACAGTCAGCAAGTACCATTAAGGTCTGTGTGCACCATGGGCCCGGTGGAAAAGGGCAGACCAGCGACTTAGAGAAGTATAAATCAAGAGGCAGCGCCCAGCCATTCATTCATTCCTGCGTGAGCCGTGCGGAAACGCTGCCCAGGCGTCCTGTGCGAGGTGGTCTGCAGAAGCCCCGAGGTTGAAGTGGGCTGAAGGGATATAGTTCGTCCATAGCCAGCAGTAGTAGAGCAGTCATATCCGCTGTAGCTTAGAGGTGGAGTTCAGTGTGTGTGTGTGGGATATCCAGGGAGATCCAGAGTCGAGTGCGTGCAAACGGTTGTGTGAATACAGTGTTGGACAGAGGATGTGTCAGCGCTCAGGCGCCATAGCCAGTTCGAAGCGAGTTTTTATCCAACCTGTGTTCTCAACTTGTACATCTCTGAGCTTTGACTGGGCGCACAGCGCCAGCGTGGATTGACATATGTTTGCATGTATGTGAAGTGACGAAGAAAGCGAGTCTGATTGCAAAATGATGTCAGCCAGGGGTCGAGTCGAGTACGAGGCGTCAACCAAACAGAAGTTGTCGATCACCTCCTGTGAAAGATGAAGCTTAAGCAACAACAACAAGAATTGCCGTGAAGTACACTTCCAAACACCACAACCAAATGAGACATAAAAATCCCACAAGAATACATAGCTGAAATAACACCACAAAGATTAGAATACCCGTAAGCTCCGCTCGTCAGGCACACAAAGTTCTGCCACCATCATTGCGCACCAGCTGTGACGGGTGGACCATCATCCTGCACAACTCTTCTCTCCTGTGAGCAAGCGACATTAGCAAGCTATGTGCCACGGAATCACCTCTCTGAAGACGCCAGGGTCTTATAGCACATACGAACAATAAAGTTACGGGCAGCACTCGCACTCCCAAAACACTTTCGACCCTTCCTAGAAATCAGATATATTCTATTATTATTCTGGAAATTTTCCAAGTTCCCAGAAAAATTGACAAACAGCCAAAGTGGCAACACTTTTGCCAGGTGCTTCATGATCCTGGCTCTATTGTCGGACGACTTTTTCTACCATGTTCTGCCGCCAGCACTTCATAATTATTCACAGCTCAGACGACTTTTTCTACCATGTTCTGCCACCAGCACTTCATAATTATTCAGACCTTGCGGAAGCATAGAGGCGAATTTCCCTCTTACTTGCTGCAGGGAGGTAGGGACTACGATCGATCCCGTAGAGTCATCCAGTCCCAGAAGAAAAAGACTTAAAGAAAAGCAAGCTTAACCAAACAAAAAAAACATGAAGAGCCTCATGCGGTAGCATATTATCAGCTTTGTTATTAATGTCTTAAAAAAAAGAAAAAAGGAGTGCAGTGCTTCATAGCCAACAGAAGCTAATAGACCCCGCCTACGTGTCTGAGTTGGTATACACACGTACCTGTTAATAAACAGAGCGTGAGGTTGAATCCCGATCGAATCAGACAAAAACAATCAAGTCCGCAGCTCTTCCTTGGGGTTAAAAAAAAAAAAAAAAAAAAAAAAAACAGAGAAACAAGAAAAACTGTTGCAAAATGCACAGTTTTAAAGGTTTACAACATCCGAGTAGAGGATTCCGAATTTTCAAATAGCTTACGAGCCCACAGACTTAAGATGTTTGTTCCCATTAAAATTTATGGCAAATGCCCAACACCCACAAACCCCGACACCCACAGGGCACTGAAAAAGAAATCTCTAGCACCCCTGATGACATATGATACACACGGCAGATGGTAGAGTCCAGTCGTTCTCAACTCGATTTAGCCATGGATGGCTGAGGGGCATCCAACCCATGCAAAGGTAAACATTTCATGATGCAGTTTGTCATAGGCACATTTTCCAACTGTATGGCAGCACACACACACACACACACACACACACAGAGAGAGAGAGAGAGAGAGAGAGAGAGAGAGAGAGAGAGAGAGAGAGANAGAGAGAGAGAGAGAGAGAGAGAGAGAGAGAGAGAGAGAGAGAGAGAGAGAGAGAGAGAGAGAGAGAGAGGCGAAGACGGACAAAGGGAGGAAGGGAGGGAGGGAGCAAGAGAGATACGACAGGAAGGCAAGCAGGCTAACAGGCACACTGGTGGTGGGCAATGCAGGTCGATAGAGAGACAAAGAGGGAGGGAGGGAAGGAGGAGAAACTTTGTAGGTTACGACAGAAGCACCCGTTGTCCTCCCCCGTCCACCTCTCCCCCTCGGTGTCACTCCCTCAGGCACATTCCTTCAGGCCCGATAAACAAGCCCAATAAACAAGGATGACCTGCTAATTTAGACAAATGTTCCTGAGAAAAAAAAAGAGGGGAAAAACTGTAACAACCCCCTAAGTAAGAATTGGGAATCACAAATCCTATTTACAACATGAGCGACTAACTGCCCGAGACCACAAACCTTGTTGCCTTTCATAAAGTTTGCAGAGTTGCAAAGCCCTGTCCCCATGCCATACAATCCTTCTCTTTTTGTGATCTTCTCGTCCTTTCGCCCATTGACGCATGCTCCTATAGGCTATAGCAGGGACCCGAGCTTCTGAAGTTGCTGTCCTCTACTGCAATTGTACAGGAAACACAATATTGCCCATGCATCGGAATACCAAACAAACACCAACTTCCTAGAAGTTGGCCGACCCCGGAATCTTCGACAGTGCACAGAAAGCTGTCCTTGCAAAATTCTGTCCACTGCCGATCGATCAGCTTACAAACACAAAACTACCTCTAAGAAAAAACTTACCTTGTCTTGATCTCCTCTCACTATATCGCTCCCAACGCTGGAGAACACTCGACATGGGTTTGCCTAGTCCTCGTATCTGGAATGTAAACCATGGGAGAGGGCACGCATCGCCCCAACAGACACACACGATGCAAAGAGACAGAGAAATCGCTGACCTGATTTGCTGCGCGCTCAAAACATTCTCCCTGGCGCCCCGTTCCAGTCATAGGCCTCGCCTGTTCAGGTTCACCATCCGCTAAGCAAAACATGAGATGTGCAACCTTCTAGCGCTCAAAAGGGCAGTGGCTCAGAACCGTTGCAAGCCAGACTCTTGCCTACCACTAAGGTTAGCAATCCACCACACTATTGCTTCATCAAGAATGAAACGATTTTCTTCTTCTGCATGTTCCCAAACCAGAAAAGGGATTCTGCATTGAGCGGAGGTCGTCTCACCCTCCATTTTTTTCCTCAATGACGTATATATTGGTGGGAGCATGGCTGTTTTGACTCCTTCCTCGGCATGTCTGTCCCCTTCCACCATACCCCCCCCTTTTACATCCAAGCCCCCTTCTCACGAAAAGAACAAGCGACATGCCAGTCCCCACATCAAAACCAATAGGCTGCCAGCCTGTCTTCACCTCCAGCAAGTACAAAAAAACTGCGCCAAAAAAAAAAAAAAAAAAAAAAAAAAAGCTTAAATCGTGCAAGATCAACCTACAACAGCAACAAATCTCTTCTCCGTTCTAATGTAATTTGCAATTTTGCACCCCCCTGGACCATGGGGGAGTGTGTCAGATGAACTTGAAATAAGTAACAAAACAAAACATTCCCTCCACGCCCTTGGCGCACGCAGCCCCCGTGCTATCACCCCCTCACCTTCTTTATGTTCCATCATCAGGCTTCTTCCCAAATTTCAACGACGGGGCCTCGTGGAATGGAATCAGGCCACAGATTCGATTGCCTGTGCGGTCTCTTGGTCCGAAATGAACACGCTCACGGGAACTGCCGCCTCGTTCTTTCGTGGAGAACCACCTGACGAGTCCGTCGTCCCACATCGTCCTCGCATGCCTTGAGTCGAAACAATTGCCACCTCATCTCCCGTCTTCTCTGCCCCCTTCTCCACGCGCTTATCCATGGACCCCGTTCCCGATACCTCCTCCTCCTGCTGCCACGTGGGAGTGGCTGTTGCCCTCTGATTCTTGACGAGGTCCAGATCATCCAGCCTGCGCACTATCATGTCCGCGGTAGGTCGAAGCGAAGGCGACATTCTTGTACATTCATGCCACAACTCTATCAGTGTGCGAAGTGCCTGCTTCTCCTCGTCCCCATCCACCAGCGCAGTGATCTGATCCGGTGCTCCTTCGGCAGCAGCTCCCGGCAGCCACTCCTGCAGAGACACAGGCAAGCCTGGCCGCTGTCCAGACTAGAAAATCCCAACAGCACCACACACAGTTTGTGTCAACGCTTTTCCATCGTTCAGACCAACAAGAAACAGTCATTCTCTGGAGTCTACACAATCGCTTACAGACTTGCTGCCGGACACTCCCAGCGGTCTCTGAAATGAAAAGAATCACTTTCCAATGCGCATTCCGACAGTACATAGGACACTCTAGGAGAGAAGCTATCAGATACTGAACATACAAAAAAAAAAAAAAAAAAAAAAAAAAAAAAAAAAAAACCTTTATCTCACAAGGGCCAGTTATAAGGAAGGAACTCGGATCAGGGAAGACAACCAGAACCATCACTCAGTGGCCAAATACTACAGAGACATGATATTCATAATATAATCGTATTGCCGTAGCGGCTGGTTTGACACTCGTGACTCCAGAAATCGAAAGACTGCTAGGGAGGGACACCCACTCGAATGACCGTCCGTCTTTCTGCACCTAACGCCTCGGCAGAGATTGTGGAAATTTCAAATTTGAGCATTCCTCACAGAAATGCGAACACACAGGTGGTCTCTAAAGGACGACACCACCTTTCTCAAACTAATGCCTTCATTGAGATTACTGAGTAGAATTCCAAGCATTCCCCAAAGAAATGAAAGATTAACCGACAATGCACCACCGGAAGAGGAGCGAGGACAGTCGTTTTGCACAGAATGCCTCCCTGTTGATGCCCTTCGTTTTCATCTTAGGTCTACAGACTCTACACACTACAAGAATAGCGACCCGAAATAATACAATACACACACTACAACAATACGGCCCCGAAGAAGGGACACAATACACATTGTTTTCAACTTTTCATTTGACAACTCTTCATTCTTGATTAAACTGCAGTCAAGTTGGGCGCTGTCATCTTGCGCGTTACAGTGCATTCCCCTCTCACAATTTAATTGAATTCCAATGGTTGCACTTCTCTGTCTTCTACACCTCTGTTCCCCCGGTCTGCATTCACCTGTTCTCTCCCTTAAACCACTAGTACCTTTGCCGCTTGGGAAAATAGCGGGCCTCGGGTAGGCATCCGACCTTTTCAGAGGCCGAAACGAAACAACGGCTGCCGATCAGATTTATTAATGGCAGTCGTCGTCAGGCCCAACCTTCGAAAATTCAGGCGATTGGGAAAACAGCCAGTTTTCCCTATTTTCCCATGCGGGAAAGGTACTAGTGGTTTAACCGGAGAAACTACACATTACTACTAATTTCGATGTCTGACATGCATTCCTACATTCAACACCTGTCGTTCATCCGTACAATTCAACACCTGTCGTTCATCCGTACAATGCACGGAACTGGAACAGACTTCAGCAGAGATGTGAATGCACAGAGTCCTTGAACCACCAGTACGACTCGAGGTGAATTAACAAACCAAACCAAAAAAACGCATTTCGCGAGCCTGAAAGGGACTGGAAAAAGAAAAAGAAAGAAAAGGAGAGAAAAACAAAAAACGAAGGTGACCGGTCACCGATACCACCATGTGGAAATTTGAGGGTGGTACCATAAACCAGCCTCTGTGAAACGGCGGAAGTCCTGGACCTGCTGCCAGCCGACGGGACGAAAGGGAGGCCAAGGCTGTTGTTTTGACCCATGTGCCTCCCAAAAACTGTTCACTTAACTAAGTTAACTTCCCAATTTTCTACACATCAGTCACACTCGCTAGAGCCTGTGAAAGCCACTCAGTTAATGTTGCCAGTTCCCAGTCTGCCCAACTGACACATGGGATGGGAGGACATGGGGTATAATAAAAATAAACCATCATTGACAAATCTATCCACCAGACACATTGGTGACCGACTACCATGTACAACAATCAGTTGCAGCCAGCATTCACAGAAGTTAGCGCTCCAGATATAGAAAAGTGCGAACCACATCACATCCACTCTCTTGCACAGATCGACAGCAGACCTTCCACATCCACTCGCTAACGAGCAACAACGGAGATCAGGTAACAGTATCTCACCTGAATGTGCGATTGGACACAGGCATCTGACAAGCCTTCATAAGGAACCGCCAGGGTCAAAAGCTCCACCAGCAGACAGCCAAACGACCAGATATCGACTTGCTGCAAGACCACCAACAGACATGTTCCCTCAAGTTAAGTAGAATGGCATGCACGTGATTACGTGATTACACACACATGAGCTCACCAATCCTTCAAAAGGAAGAAGTGGGAGAGTCAAAAGCTCAATTCACCAGACACGGACTTTCTGCTCGACAGCCGACAAACAAATACCTTGGAAGTTGCACTGAATGGCATGCATACACCTGCAGAACAAATACTCAAATGCCCCTATGCACCCACCAGCCACACTCTTTCCATCACCCATACCGAAAAAGTTCAAAAAGGTTCGAGGAGTCTTTCCATCAGCCGTCATGGGCGAGCCGCGAACATCGAGAAATGCATCAAATTCAAAAGAATGACTCTCTCTCTCTCTCTCTCTCTCTCTCTCTCTCTCTCTCTCTCTCTCTCTCTCTCTCTCTCTCTCACACACACACACACACACACATCGATTTTGTTGATGCTATCCGTGGAGACGAGAGAGAGAGAGGGAGAGGNCTCTCTCTCTCTCTCTCTCTCACACACACACACACACACACACACACACACACACACACACACACACACACACACACGCTGCCACAGATCCTTCTCTCTCTCTTGAAAGTGCAGGATGGCGGGTTTAAGCTGACAGTGTGACAACATACCAAGCGTTACACAAACTCTGTGCAGGAAGACGAAAGCGATTGCAAAACCCTACGACCTTCAGATTGTCAATAATCACAGGCTGCTTTACAGTATGTCACTGAGAAGACTATACAGAGCTGTACAGTTTTCTTCTTTTCTTTCATTCCCTTTCAAACCCTTTTATTATCATTGTGGTACTACAGGGAACCCCGTCGCAGCCACGTCCAAGTTCATGCCTCCAATGAGGGAACATTTCCTGATGCGGCATGCTCTCAGCAGCTGTCATAGCAAGGCGATCGACATGCAACTACTAATGACACAATCGCAAGTTTACGATGGATCATCCTTGGTGTCATTTCACCGACACGTCAAGAGGTTAAATCATTGGCAGCCTGCAGGGTCCATAGATACTGCGAGTGAATATAAACCTCAACCCCAGATGCAGGTGCGCTCCAACCCCTGCCCCACAGCTAATACCCCGCGGTGAGGACCAAGCACTGCATTCTAGGGTACCCCTGGCAAAAATCAACGCAGCCTATCACCCACCCACAGACTCCACAGTCTGCAGGTTCACACACCCGATCATGAGCCCGCAACCCCCCCACGAAACAAAGGTCACTCTGCCGCACCCACAAACACACTACAGACACTGCCGCCACTGGAGGCACAGCATGGCTGGCTAGTGACAGGCCCAACCCCTGCACCTCCAAAACTGACCGGTGATTTGACGCAGGTAGCTAGAGAAATCATTAACGCATATTTTGACAAAGATATCCCAGGTGAGCCATAGGCAGAAAGGGAGAAAAGGGCAAGAAATCGTGGGCTGCAACAGACTGTTTTGTAACACTTTTAGAGGATGCATGCGGCTGAAACATGGTGTAACCAATCCCAACAGTTTTTTTCTCAAAAGGCATGCCTACATGATCTATCAAAATGGTGTGCGCCCTGTCAAACTTTCGGCGATGCATGCGGCTGAAACATGATGTGAATATGGCATCACAAGTCCAGCAATCCCCAATCCCTGCAGCATTTCTCAAAAGGCATGCCTACATGGTCTTCCAAAACGGTGCGTGCCCTTGATTGGTCAAATCTATTGTCGTGGGTGATTTAAACTACCAGTACATGGCCCGAGCCTTGAAGAAAAATAAACTTGTCGCCACAATAAACATTTGGGGCTCGGGGAACGCCAGGCAGTGCAACGGGGTAGAAAGAGGTGGGCCCAGCAGAAAAACGCAAATGGACTGTTGTTCTGCCCGCTGCTTCAGTCCGTGCATGTGAAAACAGATGCCCGTATGCACAGACGAAGTTCAGCTATCGCAAAAAAAAAAAAAAACCCGACTGAAACAAAGGAACAGAATGGCAAAATGCCCGCCACATGCCGAGCATGCACTACATGAGGGCAGAAAGCCCTCAAACTTCAGGAAAAAGCGCAGAGACGCCCGCGGTAGGCAAGTATGCAGTGATTCACAGGTTACGTACCAGCGCCCGTTCTGTGTCTGCATACCGGCGCAGAAAAGTTAAGTGCTCCTGCCTCTTTGGCACCAAAAAGAAAGGAAAAACGAAAAAGACAAAAAAAACTTTTTTTTGAGTGCCTGCCCAAGGAGAACGGGCAGTCCTGTGGGAATCCACACGTGTGTTTGGCACAGGAAGTGCGCACTACGAATCTCGTGTGGAACATGTAGCGGCGCAGCTGTCAGAGGACTAACCGAGGTGCCCTAAGATCTTGCAGGCAATCTCGTGTAGAGCAATAAGTTCCTCTGCTTTATTTTATTTTCAACTTTTCATCTGTAAGGAGAAATTATATACTACTGCTCGCTTGTTTTGCGAACAGGCAGCCATTCATGATCATGCGCCTGCATCTGGCACCCGAAATGTGCTACATGCAGGTCTTCTCTCCTATGGGTGTTTTGCTGGATGCCAAGGAGTGAAACAGCGGCCTCCTTTTTCATTCCATCTTCTGGCAGCAGGTCCAGCAACAGAGGCCGGTACCGGTACCACTCCAATATTCCAAGAGCTGGTGCCCATGGCTTTCAGCCGCGGCAAAATTCAAAATTCAAGCTCGTACACTCAGGGTCGGGTGTATAGGTGAGTTGAGAAGCAAGGAGAGAAAGCGTACCGGTCCATACGCATTTTGCATATACATAGCCCTCAGAACCTCAGGAGCCATCCATCTCGGTGTCCCAACACATCTATCGGCTGGGGGAGTGTCACAAAGCTGCGCTCGCCAGTGACAGCTGCTGCTACAACACATTCCTTCCCTGCCTCTGGCATGCGTCATCTGTGATGACGATGCAAGATGGACTGCAGTGCTGAAGTCGCAAATCTTCACAGAACGGACTACCCAAGGCCTGCCATTCCCTCTGGTAGAGCTCGGTTGACCGTCCTTGTCATCATTAGCTGTACTGTTCTTCTTCTTCTTTTCCTGTTGGATATCCCCATCAAGAGTGCTCTCACTGTCCTCCTCCTTAGGAATGGTGTCCTCTGCATCCCATCCTTCAACGTCCACCAGAATATTGCTGCTCTGAAAAGACAAGTCATAACATAACAAGCAGGGATAATGCAAGTGGCGTTAACAGTTGTGCAAACACTTTCGGCAGACTTCTGATGCCATGGCTTCTACTCATCGATAAAGCATATGCGGCATTGATTCACAGATGGCAGACCCTGCAGTCAAAAGGTTGGACGGTACCATCTTCGGGAGAGGACCCGACAGAAAGGAAACGGACAAGTAGAAATAATATGAGCTAACTGACACTTGGAAAAAAATGCAGATTGCCACCTACAAGCAACCCATTACACATCCACAAACAACAATACAGGCAGATAGATAACAAATGTTTTCAATTGATTGGTCAACGGTAGTCCTGTAGGCAGCGAACCAGAAGCCCAAAGCTTGAGCGCAGCCCCAATAGTTGCTTGCAACCAAAGGCAGGTGTTACATCTTCGACTCACACGGGTCCTACCGGACCCGACTTAGGGCCGGAGGGACACACCAGGGCCTAAAGGCCCGACCTTTGGGGTTACAGGCCCTAAAGGCCTGATTTTGGACTATCACCCATCGGGTAGGCCCAAACGACACTTCGTTTGGGCCTGGCGGCGCTCTTGAAGCTGCCGCCCGCCGATTGAGGCTGAACCGTCCATCTGGACGGTCCAGGGTCTGGCCTGGCCTCGCAGCATTGAGGCCAGACCATTGCCCGCCGGTATAAGTACCGGTATCCGCCTCAGTAGGGGGATCGGCCTACCGGAACTCTACCGGCACGGCATGGTCAGTGCTAGGGCACTGTTTTGATGCGCTAAACTTAGCGCAGGGGCTGAAGCAGGAGCGCAGCATAGCGCAGCAGCGAGAGGAGCAGCAGTGGGCGACTGAGCTTGCACGGCGGTTCTTACCGCCTGAGGTATCGGGAGCTTGGAGGGTCTCTCCTCCTCTCCCTCGCCAGTCCCCTCTCACTCTCTCTCTCCTCTTCCTCCTTCTTCTTCTTCTTCTTCTTCTTCTTCTTCTTCAGTTGGACAGAGATCAGAGTTGGATTTCGGTGATACGAGACTGTGGTACTTACCTGATTGGAGACTTGGAGATTGGTGAGGTTGATACTCGGCTGCATCACAGTTGGACACCGGTTACATCTGGACTCCGTTATCTCCGACATTGGTGACCTTTGGTCCTCGACATTTTGATCTTGCTATATGACATTCTGGACTACCATTTCGGAGACCTATCAGACTCTATCGTTGTGACCTATCGGTGTGATCTACCTCCCACCTCCTTCATCTCTCCTCCCACCTTTCATCTGTGTATGTGTGTACGGGATCTGGGTATCGTCTATGAATGACCCAGACCCCACCATCTCATGATTGTATGTGTGTGGAGTGATGCCATGTAAGTCAGTTGGTGTGAGTCAGTCTATGTGAGTCAGTTCGTTATCAGACTTCCGTTGCATAAATGCTCATCCTATCTTTGGTTCTGCCCATACTCATTGAAGTATGTAACAGCAGGCCAAGCTGACCTCTTGCATCTGCCAGTTGATAGTCTGGGAGCAAGAGCCTACGGCTTTCTGCATAATGTAATCCCTCAAGCGACCAATGAAGCCCTGATGCCCAGCACGCACATATTCCACCCTGCAGGTGGCAACAAGCCTTAGACAACAGCAGAGCAGTTTGTGCTGGTGCAACATGCGGGAATTACAAAGAAACATGGTATGAGCTTCCTCACTGGAAACTAACCACCACTATGGGCATGGTATGAGCTTCCTCACCGGAATTATAAAGAAACATGTCCTGCAACACCTGGAAACTAACCACCACTATGGGCACGGTATGAGCTTCCTCACTGGAATATACATGGCCGTCAGTATGCCCTTCGGTATCCCAAGAGGCCCAGTTGAAGATGAGTGCAACGCCTCAACAGCCATATAGAAAACCATGAATATATATATCACCATTGCCAAAGTGTCTCACATCCCTGCCCTAGGTCTGGTCCCTACATGAAAAATGGAAAGCAAAATCAGAAAAACGGAATAAATTGAAACAAACATGACACGCGCCATGTCTGACAGTCAGCACATGCATGCACAAGCACATGTTGGTTACACAAGTCAGGTAGTCGTAATACTCTCACCTAATGCTGTGTACCTTAGCATGACGGCATACACATGCAAGTTTGGAGGCACCTGTGCGGTGTGTACATGTGACATGATTCGACACGATGTGCGGGTGTGATCAAATCATCAACATAATTTCTTTGAAGGCGATTCCCTTTTGCCATTAATGTGCCAGCTGATTTCGTCCTGATTGACAATTGCTACATACGACTAAAGCCACCACACCAACTCATCAGAGGTGGTGTGTCTTAGTGCACACACACAAAGCTGTTCAATGAATAATGGCAAGTCTCCAAAGAGCCCGGGCCAGCTTTCCACTTCTCTCTCTCTCTCTCTCTCTCTCTCACACACACACACACACACACACACACACACACACACACACACACACNCTCTCTCTCTCTCTCTCTCACACACACACACACACACACACACACACACACACACACACACACACACACACACACACACACACACACACACAACAGAAACAGTATAAAAAAAAGAAAGAAAACAACCAAAAAAAACTCCCTCCTCTCTCTCTCTCTTAGACTCCGTAACGACTGACTCGAAAGAGGAGAGCATGATCTCTCTCTCTCTCTCTCTCTCTCTCTCTCTCTCTCTCTCTCTCTCTCTCTCTCTCTCTCTCTCTCTCTCACACACACACACACACACACACACACTTGTATGTTTACCCACTCTTCGTGTGTTTGTGTGAACTCCGCAAAAAAAACATCACTGTGCCAGACTGTTTCATTGGACTTTCACCAACTCATCAGGAGGTTCCACCACGACCGTCTCCCTACCATGCATTTGTGTGCATGCGTCCATGTGTGTTTGAGAGTGTGCTTGCGGCCGGTGGGCAGGCGGGCATCCGCATGAGTGTGTTGTCTCGTTAACAATACACTGTGCCCGTCCCAGTGTGTGTTGCCTTAAACTACACACCACTCACAAAAAAATAAAAAATAAAAAAATGCACCACCACCCCAAGACGGGACCAACCCACATGGAACCGGTTTTTCCACAGGCAGGGCAGCCCTAACTTCCTTTCGGCTGCAAACTTCGAATCTGGGCTGTTGGCCAACCGGTACTGGGCCAACGGCCCAGATCGTTGCACGACCTTAAAATCTCAAAACTGCACGTCGATCCTGGCTGTAGCCTGGTAGGACCGCTGACAACCTAGATCGCCGCATGATCTAAAAATCTCAAGACCACATCACGATCCGGGTTGTCGGCGTGGTAGGACCGCGGATGGCCCGGATGCCAGATTTGTCACAGTAGTGATTTCTATAAGCGTAGGGATATCCGTCACACTACCTACCTATCTATACGGGTGCAAACCTGATCTACCGGGTAGAGGGAAGAGCCTGAGCGTAGACGGATAGGGGACCGGCCCACCTGGAACCAGTTTTTCCCCAGGCCTTTCAGTTGCGAACTTCTAATCTGGGCCGTTCGCCAACCGGTACAGGGCTGACGGCCCAGATCGTTATGTGACCTTAAAATCGTAATATCGCCCGCGGATCCTGGTTGTCACCCGGTAGAACCGCGGACGACATGGATCGTCGCACGATCTTAAAATCTTAAGACCACGTCTCGATCCGGGTCGTCGGCCCTGAAGGACTGCGGATGGCCCGGATGCCAGATTTGTCACATCAGCGATTTCCATAAGTGTAGCAATATACCTCATTACCTACCCAACTATACCAGAGAGGGATAGCAGGAGCTAGGGCCTCTAAGAGAACCCAGGGCCCTACCAAGACCGACTAAGGTGGCCAAGCGAACTATCTCAGGTGGTGAACACCAAGCATGCCGCAGGCAGCCGAGGGGGATTGAACCCACGACCACCTAAATGCAACTTGTGTGTGAAACCAACTGAGATACGCCGTTTGGCCTCCATTTGTAGTTTTCGTTTGGCTTCTCTATCCATTTCTCCTGGCTGCGATCATGCTTTCTTCTCAAATTGGACTGGAGCAGCCAATGCTCCGATAAATAGACTCCAGGACAATGGCACCTGCATCTAAACTTAAGTGGGAGCATTGGCCATTGTCCTGCACACTTAAGTTTAGAAACCTAGACTCCAGGACAATGGCACCTGCATCTAAACTTAAGTGTGCCATTGTTCACCCCAGTCCAGAGGGAGAGACACACCCCACAAGTAATCGGACTGGGGTGAACAGGTGTGAACCAGAGCACCCCTACTCTGCATACTGAACACAAAGCAATCTGATGGGCTGGAGACTGATCCCCATGATGGGCTACCTTGATATCTCTGTGAATCAGCCCCTGAGAGTGAAGCCACGCGATTCCTTTAGCCACCTCTCTCGCAATCCGGACACTGATCGCCACAGGAAACAATTGATCCCCCCGCTCACGGCATCTTGCAAGGTAACCCTGCTCCAAAGAAAGGACAGGACAAAGGAAGCAAATAAGGAAGGAAAGAAGGAAAGAAAACAAAAGAAAAGGGGAAGCTAAGAGAGAGAGAGTGAAGGAAGAAAGAACAGGGCCATAAGAAAGGTTCACCACCACAATCAAAAACAAGTGTAAGATGCATGCCAGCTATCTTCTTGAAAAAAAAGGACACTGAGAACTGGACAAGGTTTGCAAGAAAGAGCAAGCATTATGTTCAATGAACTGGAAGATCTCAGACAGATGCCACCCCTCTGAGATAGAGAACATACCAAAATAACCCAACTCACTGGGCTCATATATGATGCACCTGTTCCTCCTCTTTTGCTCGTCTCTTCTTCAACCAACACTACTTCGCCCACCTACCCTGTGCGGATGCCACCTCTCTAAGATAGAGAGCATACCAAACGAACCCAACCCACTGGGCCCATATATGATGCACCTATTCCTCCTTTGCTCGTTTGTGCTTCAACCACCCGACCTACCCTGTGTGCACTCACTGTTTAATCCAGTGCCACTGCAAGGCTTGGTCTACCAGCGGAAAACGGTTGGCAGTACCAGGGAAATCGCACCCCCCGCAACAGTTCGAGATTTCAGGGCCAGGCAAAATCACACATCGGAAAAGAGAGGCTCAGAGGTACTGCTGGTTTAACGTGCAACTTCATTTCAGCAGCTTCTCCCTACAGAGGAGGGGAGGGGGAGGGAGGGGGGGGGGCCACAGTAGTGGATCTGATCTGGCCGATCCCCTCGCCCTTCAGCAATCCCCTGCCATCTGTTTGGAAAAGTTCGCATTCTGAATAACGGTTCCTCCTAAAAAATGTACCCATAAATCTGCCCTCCAAGATATGCTATTCAATCGTAGATTCTTCCCACATGTGCCCTATCTGCCAACCCCACACCCAATCTCTTTCCATTTTTGTTCTGGATTCACCACTTTTGCAGGAAACTCTACCAGAGATGCTGTCCTACCTCCAGATATCTTCCAAGCAGCATGTTTGATGTGCCACATCTGAAGCATGTTCCATGAAAATCCCTGGGTCCATTCAGAGCACTTGGATGTCTTTCTGGGAATCGTGTACCATCCTCAAACACCAGTTCTATCTGATCCAGACGGTTGCAATCACCGCCCAATAAAACGCTCTTCTTTATTTTGAAAATTTGGAGATAAAAAAAAAAGCATGTTGTTACTGGATGAGAGCCAGTGGAGAAATAATCCCCTCATTGAATTTGTGTGAAGCAGTTCTCTATCTATCCAGAAAGCATGCCACCTGTTCATCCAAAAGACCCAACGATCTTCCTCCTCACTAAATCGAACAGCCAGTTGATATAGGGTGAGAGATGGTTAACTGAGACCTAAATTTTCAGACAATTTCTCAACCCATTTATAAGAAAACCCAAATGCACTCTTCCCCAAACTTGCCACCGATTCACAGACCGGACAGAGCATATTAACCAACAGCACACACACACACACAAAAAMAAAAMAAAAAAAAAAAAAAAAAAAAAAAAMATGATTGACCCCAAAACGCTGATTTCAGTTTTGGACCAACGTTACCCAAGAGCTGAAAAGTGGGGGTCCCTGTTAACCACTTGTATATAGGGGGTGCACTACTGGTGGTGCACTGATGGGATAAGCACTTACGGTTCAAATGCGCAGCCCCTCTCTGTCACAAATGGCACAGTCACAATCGGTCGGTCTGTCAGAAGACCATGTGTTATCATAACCTAGACCTTGACGTAGCTCAGCTGAGGCCGCCCCTTAAGTAGCGGGTTGAACTATGGGAGGTCATCAGTGGCATTGGTTAGAGAACTTAGAAGCAGTGAACTGATATATGTTTCAGCAGAGCCATTTGCAGATCCACGAGCCCTTGAACAGCCAGCAGGCCATTCTCTTTTTTGTTTCCTTGCCTCTTTTTTTAAATCTAGTTCCATGTGGATTTGAGCTCACATCTGTATTGTGGGTGTACCAACTGAGCTAGGTCAACAGGTCATTCTAATTCCAACGCAGAGTAACTTCCCTCTAAAACCATTGGTGAGGGAAATGAAACTCCGACATGAATTGAATTTATCTGTCCCTTTACCCTGCACCCTCCTTTCCCCTCCCACCTCCCACAAAAAAAATCCCCAAATAAAGCTTTGGAGACTTGGTCAAACTCAGGGTCCTCATGCTGTGCGCATGACCAAAATAGAGATCTCCTGCATGATCATCACAGCTTCCGGTCTTGTGAGACGAGGCGTCCTGAAACATCCAGCGAGCCACACAAGGCCTACAGTAGGTGAAGAGGGAACTAAAAGACACTCGGGAGGAAAGAAGATGACCATACCTCCAAAGACCCGCCGGCAACATACTCCATGAACAACATCAGGCCATATGCCACTCGGCCATTGTTCTGCGTCTCTGGTGCTGAACTACACCTTTCCTGCCCCGAGGTCATCCCATAATAATCAGTAAAGATGTGGTGGCCGTAGAACTCTACGATGCTTGGATGGCGAGGCAAGCTTGCTAACAAGCGCAGTTCACTCAGTGGCAGAGTGAAATCTCTCTGCGGACAGGCAACCCCACCCATCACCTCCTTGTTGCCATGACACAACCAACCATTGATTCCAGTCGACCTCATCACCTGCGCCCATACAGCACATAACATACGCACACAACATCCGTATGACGCTTAGCCCTAATTAAGAATGTTCAAAAAGGTCTTTCGGGACATCCGTTAAAATTGGAACGATACAGAGAAGATTAGCATGGCCCCTGCGCAAAGGATTACACGCATAAATCGAGAAATGGTCCAATTGTTTTTTCTATAAAAAAAAAGGATGTTCACAAAGTATCGAGTTAGACCATAGCAGGATCTCATCACAGCATTAGACTGCATATAGGCATGTTGAGACAAATGGCCTGCCACTCAGGAGGCCACCGTATGGTTGCGTATAGGCATTTTGACATGAAGCCGCACCACTCAGGAAGGCAAGTCCACACAAACTAGCCAGTTCATGCTGCCGTTGGAAAAGACGAATACAACAGACAATCATGCACCTGCATTGCAACCACAAACAAGCACACAATTGCAGTCACAAACAGATCAACGAGCAGTGTTCATCTCTCCCAGGAGATGACAGCACCTTCTACTCTTGCCCCCTCCATAATCGAGGGTGCTCCCTGGCTGGCCAACTCGAAGAAACAGATGTGTCCTCATCTTCTCAGCAAACACATGAAATGTGGCCTTCATTACACACTCAACATGCTTGGCATTCTCCAGAGTTCGCAGAATCACATCTGTCAGACTATCTATCTATGGGTGCAAGGGTTGTCATGGTGCGTCAAGCCACCACAGCAAAGAAGTTTTAATAGAACGGTTGACGCCTCCAAAGTTCGCATGATATGCCCTGAGGTCTCTGCCAAAGAGCACCTGCACAACCACACAGCCGCTGCTGAGAAGGTCCCAAGATCCATGGCAACACTCGTTGAGACAAACAAAGAGTGAAATCAGCTTCAAGTAACAAAAACAAACAGGTTCAACAGGGAACAGAAAAGGGAGAGAAAACTTTGAAACACAGTCCAGCAAGACCTCCCACATCAACTAATCAGACAGCGTACCTGTCCCAGTGTCCCCAATGACACTAAGTTACTTGCTCTTCTACCAAACACCATGACCGGTTGGTTGCTTGTGTGCTACCAAACAGCACGAAAGGTCTCTTGGTCCTATTCTACAAACGCCTTCCTTCAGTTTACACTCGTTCATTCACTGTGACAAAAAACGTCCTCTTGATTGTTCTGACTCACATGCTTGGGAGGATTGGATACGCAGTGGTATCAAATGACACCTTACTCACTTTAGCAGCAACGGTAACATCCCCTAATGTGCATCGATAAACAACTGCTCCCGAGGCCCCTCGGCCAATCTCCTCATGCAGAAGAAGCCTCTGCAAATCAAGAACCTCCCGTTCACCTGCCCGCAAAGACACTCGTTTCAGTGGCAAATACCTGCAGTGCATCCCCGCATTCCATTTTCCCATTTGATCACCCAAAGCAAATGAACCACACTCATTCAGACAGCAATCATCTCCCCTTCAACCCCGAAACCAGCCCACCGTCCACCCAAGAGAGGGGGAAAGAGACATTCAAGCAGGCTTGCATACACAGAGTAACAAAGACCATGCCCACAGGCCGATGCAATGAAAACACACTCACCCAAGACAAGTAGGAACAGGGTACAATCATATTATGAGAACAACGCGCCTAGACTTCACACCAACCCCGAAATTTTTTTGTCACAAAGCCAGCTAGAGACCACCCTACTGTCCCCCTGAAGCCCTGATAACAAAGGTGCAAGGAACCCAACTCAATTCCACAACGATTCTCACTAACAGAGCACCGAAACCTCACAGACGATTCAAAACACACACAACACGAATGACAAGTCAGCACTCATTGAGATGAAAGCCATGCAAACGCTGTATTATTATGCAGGAAATGAGTCGGAGTACAAGCTGTCATTGGCCTCTATCACCAGTCTCATCAACCAGGAATCTCTCTCTCTCTCTCTCTCTCTCTCTCTCTCTCTCTCTCTCTCTCTCTCTCTCTCTCTCTCTCTCTCTCTATCTATATATATCGTCAAA